CGGCCCGAAGATAATTTATCGAAAGCTACGTATGCTCGCCAAATACTCTCCTGAAATACCTTTGAATTTATCGAAAGCTAAATACTCTTCTGAATTCTTTGATAGGAATTTTCGCAACTTCAAAGGTATTTACCTACATTTCCCCTAATAAAACCTGACCTGACCTCGTGTCAAAGGGTGGACACATCAGTGCGCCCGTTATTTGGGCGCGAAGGGGGGGAGAGAACTGTTACGGTTGCCTGTGTTGAAGGGGTAGCCATCCAAGCGTCTGCATACGGCTGGATTAGGGGGGGGGTCGTTGATGCGGTTTAGGGGTAGGAGTCAGCGCACCAGTTGTGGTTCGCCAGGGTGGAGACACTGAGGCCGGATTAGCAGTCGCTGTGGGCGCAAATTAGGTAACCGGACCGAGAAACCGCTGTGATGACCATTCAGATGGACCGGCACACTGATCCTGCCCCCCATACCGTATAGACTACTACCATTGGGCCGTCGGCCGTCCCACTGTGTCGACATGCACCAACTAGAATAGCTGTTTTGGCGGTTTATTTGAACACCACAGTCACCCATTTTGTACTTTATATGGCCAATAGTTTTTCAAGCAGTTTATCAAGAAAGGGCGTTTTATGAACACGCGATACTGATGAATGTCAGATTTAAAAACGGGAACGGTAATATAAGTTTTCCAAAAAATCAGGGCAGGAACCATTCTCGGAAAAAATGAGAATAATTTGCTCGGTAAAGCTGACAAATCTCTTAAATGTTGAATAAGTGAGTTTGGGATGTTCGCAGATCCAACCGAATACGAATTATTAAGCCGATTTATCGCTTTTTTGTAGGGAAAAAAATCGATGATTGTAAGCTAGATTGATTGGGAATTAGACGACAGAGAAATTGCCGAAATGGGCTTGTTTCAAGGGTAAAATGGTTGTTTAAGAAGGGATTTAGCAGTTCTGTTTTGTCCAAATCTTCTGCAACCAAATTAGTGCAACAATCGAGTAAGAATTGAATGAATTTCTTAAACTTAGCAGATAACTTGAAGCGGAAGACTTGAGTAACAGATCTCGATCAATTAGCATCATTAATTACTAGAAAGTACCTAGGCCTATCTCGTGCGAGCGTAGTCTTTTAAGGTAATTCAAAGATTAGCGCTATCTTTAAGTGAACTTTCAATGAGCTGTTAGATGGACCCTTAAGCTGCTTTCGCAATTTTAAGTCGGTTTTGAAGAAAATGAGGAAGAGTAGAAGAAGCAGTACTTTATTCAAATGACTTGTGTGGGATAGAGGTATGGATTCTTTCTGCAAGGCTTTGCAATAGATCATGGAAATAGTTCAAATCATTGGTGGGAAATAAGCTGTGCTTGTAAAATTATTTACTAATTTCTTGTTCATAGAAACAAAGTCGAGGCAGTTAAGTTTTACCTTAGACTTTACAGAAGAAGAGACTAGAAGACAATAATCAATTAAGGCAGGATCACAGTGGAAATCCATAAAGAGAGGTTGCACGTCATTCTCAAAAATTAAATCCAATCTTCTATCGTTTCTAGTCGCAGAGCTCAGAGGCCGTGACATGTTTTAAAAGTGAATAATATGTGCCAATTTCTGAATTTTTGGCAGAGGGGGATTTGCAAGCCAAATCTAATTGAGTCTCTGCAGTTTTTTTCAAAAGTTTCACAGAGCTGGGTGTCATTGTCAGAATAAAAGAGAGGACTACAGGCACGGCCAAATACAGCTCTCATATCTTGCCGCCGGATGACTGAAACAAAGTAAATATTTACATGAAACAAATGTACAGACGATGGCTTAAATGGGGGAAGCAACCACCATCACTTTTTCCATCGTGGTCTGGTTCGTGCAAAGTTAAATTATCTATAGCGTGCGTTGAGTCGAAAGTTAAAGAGGGAGCTTACGATTCAGTGATACACATATGCATCAAGCTTAATAGCCACAGGTCGGAACTCTGACATCTTTTTCACAATTGATCTCGAATTGAGTAAAAGTACGTTAAATGTATTCCTGAAGTGCAGGCTAAGCTCACTCATGTTTATAAAAAGGAATAGTTGGTGGTGGAGAAGAAGAAAATTGCAGGTGGGGGAAGCAAACGATGGAAATTTAAATTGCTCTGGTCTACAATTTGTTGAGTTATTATTGTTCAATAAATATCGGTTATCATTATAAAAGATATTTGGGTGGCATGCGTAGAGAGGAAAGCTATGTTGTGCGATGGAGAAAAACCGGAGATGGTATAAAAACAGGATTTTGAGGAATGTTAGGATAACGCGGGGAAAGCTAACATTTGAAAATGAAATATAATGGAATGGAATGAACACAATGGGGCGCGCTTGCAGATAGAGCACAGAAACTACGGGCACAAATATGAACGAGTCCCGGGCGCATATTCAAGTTCGTGAACCCACAATATTCGCGAGATGTGACAACTGTGTGAGCCGCGAGCTGCTTGAGTCATGGTTCGGAGCCTCGGGTCTATAAACAAGCGAAATTACCTGCCGACCATCTATTCGATGCTGAGGCATAGTGTGACTAAAGTTATTAGTGTTATAACCTTGTGTGTTGCCCTGTCAACACTGGTTACGTCCCCAAGTTACGTGTTAGGAAGAGAAGGAAGCACTGGATAGCAGATAGTACTTTACTGCCAATAGTTATGCTTGTACATCAGCGTTGTCTTCTGTGGGCCTGTCAGCAACGTGTCTTCTGTCGTTGGTCTCGTCTCGGCGG